AAAAAAAAAAAAAAAAAAAAAAAAAACCTTAAAAATTATTGGGATGGGGATTTAGCTCTGTGGCACCATGCCTGCCAAGCAAGTGCAAGATCCTGAGTTTGATCCCTGGTATCAAAAAACAAAACAAAACAAAAGAAACACGTAAAAATTATTGTCTATAAGCTGTTTTAAAAGCCTAAGATCATGCAAATTTGAATTCTTAGAAAAGGGTTAGAAATAGAGGGAAAGATACTATCTTACTCCCACAGTGGTACATAGTCAAAGGACATTAAATAAAATTTGAGAGCTTCAAAATTGAAATACTTCATTCTACACAACCCTCATACAGATAGTTATGGGGTAATTTCTATCAGCATGATGTTTTCAACACTTTCAAATAATGATGCTTATTTTAAAATTAGTTCAATATTTCTTAACTTTTATTAATTTTAGTTTAAAAAACCACTTACTGGAAGACAATATTAAAATCCTTTTACCATTATAAGGAATACCATGGTATTCATTTTTACAGAGAATCATGCCTCAATAAATATATGCATTTCCCTTTGCTTTTTGAGGGGAGGGGGATATGTTAGGGATCAAACCTAGATCTTATATAGGCTTAGGTAAGGACTGTTACCATTGGGCCACATTCCAGACCTAATTTTAAGTTTTTTGTTTGTCTTTTTTTGAGACAGGATCTCACTATGTAGCCCAGGCTGGCCTCAATTAGCAGTGATCCTCTGCCTCAGCCTCCTAAGTGCTGGGATTACAGAGCGGTGCCACCAGCTTTTACTTTTTTTTTTTTTTTTTAAACAGAGATGATGAAGCTAGGAAAACGTTTCTAAAAGCCAGAATTTTAGGCCAGGGATTTAGCTCAGTGGTTCTGCCACCTGCTTCACAAGCACAAAGTACCAAGTTCGATCCCCAGTACCAAAAAAAAGTCAGAGTTTTAATCAGAAAAAAGGCAAGTTAATTATCCCAGTAATATAATTCTATTAAAAATAAATCCTATGATTCATAATAGTACACATGATAAAATAAAGAACTCTGTAATTAAAGAAAAATCCTATACCACATTTCACTGAAAAAAAAAGAAGCAACCATGGTTTAAATACTAGTTCCATGTATTGCTGAGTTTTTATATAAAGTTTATCAGTGAAAAGTAGCCTATTTATAAAATGTCAGAGCATATTAGATATCTTTTCAACTTCCAGTTCATAAATGGACTTTTTTTAGACTTTTAAAAATGAAACTCTTGGTACAGGAGGTCTATCACTGTGCTTCCATTTTTACTCCTCCCAGAGCCAGGGATTTAGCTCAGTGGCTCCACACCTGTCAGGCAAATGCAGGTGCTGAATTTGACTCCTGGTACCCTCCCCGCAAATCTATTTTTACTCCTCCCATGCAACGTTGTTAAGTAGTTCATTACTCACAATTTAGAATCAATAAATGATCGAACTAAACACTGATCCTTTTTCACTGGGACGTCATCATTACAGCTGGGAGAGACTACCTGAAATATAAAACAAAGAACTAGTTGCTTCTTCTTTTCCTTGCCCAGAAAATGAATGTATTTTTTAAAAGAACAATTCTGGATGCTAACTTCTCAAGTGGATTCTCTTTTTAAGATAAGCTCTTGTTGAGAAGCCTAGATCGGCAATGAACTCTTGATCCTCCTGCCTCGGTCTCCCATGTCCTGCTTCCCGTGGGCATTTTATAAGTAGTTTCTGGCTACTGTGGCCGGTGCTCATCCTATAGACTGTACTTAGTTTTACTTGGCCCAAACTCACTCTGCAGAGTCTGTTTTTTTCATTAATAAATGTAAAACCTAACTAACAAAAAAAGCAGTTCCACCATAAATAGCTCCCATTATTTACAAGTCACGTAAGAGAACAACTCATTTTTTTGTTTAGCATACTGGCTTTCTAGATATCTTCTCACAGTTACTCTGCAAAATGAATGAAAGATACTAAAATGTGACCACCACTTAAAAAAGATTAGGATTCATTCTAAGCTAAATAACCTTTCAGTTTCTGTCCAAAAATACAACTTATGAATGTCTAATATGATGAAACTTCGACATGGTATAGTTTTAAAAATACAGTGATACCAATAGGCAGAAAGCCACAAGAAAACTCTGCGGAGGAAGAGTCAAGCCAGGTGGCAAAGGGCAGCAAAGTCCTAAGTCTTAAAGGGTGAGCAGGCACAACCCACGGCCTGCTCACCTCACCTGTCAGCTACTCTCAAGGCCTCCAGTTCCTTCTTGCTGGCTCCCATCTCCCTGAGAGCAATGGGGGCAACATTTCCACTGCGTCATTAACATTCCTAAACACTGATCTCAGCCATTCTACAAAATCCTCTGCAGTGTAGTTTCCAAATTCTTAGTTCGACCTCAGTTGCAAATTATCTTGCAGTCTTATTTATTTCCCTACTCTCATCTAGTAGCCAAATCAAACAGTTAAATTTCCAGTAGAGAGAAGAACCATCTACTACCAAGCATTTTTGATTGCTCTCACGAAATAATGTCCATCTCTTCTTCCTACTCATTCTCCACAGAAGCAAAGAATATTTCTCTACTAACTCACCTAAGATTTGTCATTTCTAAAGCCTTCTTTAAAATCTAGGTGGACACATCCTAAGCCTCCATGTCCTAGTCCAGTGCCTGAACCGAGTCCATTTTAATTTACTCAGTAATCTCTAATTATGCAGTTTCATAGGTGTATGGTAAACTTCTGGAGGGCAATACACTACCCCAGGTCTCCTAGTACTCTCTTCTAAGGAACTCAGAACAAAGCCAAACTCACTGCAGATCTTCAGGAATATTAGTAATTTAAGGTGAAGGCTCAGAGGAATGAACTATGTTACAGAGGGGGCAGTTAAGAAAGAATCTAACTGAAATATGCTGTCTGTCTACCAACTCCCACCAGTGACCGTAACCACAAATGTACCACAAAGATGTACGGAAAAATGTAAAAAAAAAAAATTTTTTTTAAAAGGAACTTGAGTAGAATTTATAGGGAAAATAGGAAACAAACGAGGTAGGGCCGGCCTCCGATATCTATTTAAAGAGGGTAAAACTAGATGACTTGTTGCAGGTGTATTTTATCTTTTTAAATTCTGACATGGAATTTACGTTACCCAGGCTGGTCCCTCTGAACCCAGCTTCCAGAGGAGCTGGGGCTGCTGGGCGTCCATCACATCTGACTGCAGGGTCACTTCTGAGAACGGGACCGCCACGGTTAAATCGGTATCTTAAAAAGATTTCTCCTTCCAAGTTAATTCTAGAAATGGAGTCTGACTTTAGTAGAAAAAAACTCAACAGTGAAGCTAAGGGAACCTGATGGTGTAAAACGTGATGGGACAGAGTGAAAAGGGGCCGCTGGCCACGTTCTGAAGCAAGAGCTGCAGAGTCTAATTCATGATTACGAGACAAGGAAAGAAAGTAACAAGAGTGAAGCACAATTTTGCAGACCCGACAGCCCACCTATTAGATCTTCAATGCCCAAATGAGAGTTATGGGGCACTTTCAAACTATTTTAAATGTTACACGACATTTCGTTTGATGAATGATGCAGAGGCGCCTCCTTACCAAAGCAGGGAACCACTCAGTCCTCTCAGGCGTAGAAACCACTCTCACGACCTTTCCTAACAGCTCATCGTGGAGACGCTGCTTATCCTCCTCCTCCTCTTCACTGCTTTCTTCCTCCTTCTCGTCCTCGTTACTGAAAGGCAGGACGGCTGGATCATTACCCAACACACCAGCACAGTGGGGATGTGAAGCGAGCACGTTCAACCCAGTTCCTCAGGCAGCCTCTCCACTTCTACCTGAATTGAGGCCGTGGAAACTTCCTTGGCTCCGCACCAGTAGTCCTGAGCTGTCAATGGCAACTCCGAGTCCACGCCAGCAAATCAGTAAGGACCCGGACTCAAGTTCTCCTGTCATTCACCAGCTGGGACAGAAAAGCCCAATTCCACCACCAATAAATGCTCACTGTGCCAAATACACTTTTTTTTTTTTTTTTTAAAAAACAACTCCGCTTCTACTTTTTAAAGGCCAAATACATTTTCTTTTTGACAACCACCCTTCTATTTTATTAACATCAGACACCAGCTGATACTTTATGTAACAAAGTATGGAAATATCTCAGTAAAACACATAGGAGGGTTCAGATAACTCATCTGAGATAACAGTTTTACTCTCAAGTCTAAACAGTATTAATTGCAAGACTTTCACAACTAAAGTATGTAGCAGGAATGAGAGACTAGAAAATCATCACAGTATTTTGCAATCTTAATAGTATTAACTTATTGAGGCAAGAGTTATCAGAAAATGATAAAAATCACTGAAACTCTGATAAAGAACAAGGTATTTAAATAGCCTCGAAGTATCTCCACACAGACTGTAAGTTACAAAGGAAAAAACAGCAACTAGGATAATTTTGAGGTTTAGAAACTTGGCGGACACCACTTCCGCCAATCGTGGAACAAACTGCTACCACGCTCACTGATGTTTCTGCACCAAGGACGCATGCTGCTTACGCAGTTGTTACTACGCACAAGCTCGGTGTAATAACAAAACGGCAATCAGACAAACCCAAATCGAAGGACAGCCTACGAACGACTTGGCAGTGTGCTTCTAAACCGTCAGTGCCCCGAGAGACAAAAGAGGCTAAAGAACATTTCCAGGTGACAGGTGTCTTACGGACTTTAATGTAAATGACAGACAGTGCAGAACCTTAGGCCGGAGCCAAGAACCAAGGGACGAGGGAGGTGCTAGAAAGGCTGTGACCGGGACCACTGGCACCACTTGAAATAATGACACGTTAGGCGGCAGGGTGCCACCGGAGTTAGACTTTCTGAATTTTATATTCCTATTTTGGTAATTTAACGATAGAGTTTCACGATGCTTGTCATGTTGTCTCCAATGGTTTGGCAAAATAAAATCACAAAATAATTATATATATATGAAGAGTGATAAAGCAAATATGTCAATGTTAAAAATCAGTGAATCTAGGCCGTGCGTAGTGGCGCAGGCCTATAATCCCAGCACTTCGGAGGCTGAGGCAGGAGGATTGCTGTGAGTTCCGAGACCAGCCTGGGCTACATAGTGAGTTCCAGGTCAGTCTCAACTACATAGTGAGACCCTGTCCCTCTGGCAAAAAATCGGTGAATCTAGATAAGGAACACATGGAAGGCCACTGTACTATCCTTGAAAATTTTAAGTTTTAAAATGTTTTCGTGCAATTTGGAAGGATGAGGCAAGAGAAGCCCACCCTGGACAACTTAGTAACTCAAGGAGACCCTGTCTAAAAATTAAAACAATAAAACAAAAAGGTCTGAGGGTAGCTCAGTGCAAAGGCTTAGGTTCAATCCCAGTACCAAAAGAAAAATTTAAAAATAAATTAAAAAGTGAAAAAAAACACGATCACTTAAAATGGAAAAATCATCCTATTAATAATGGACTTTGCCAGAATAATGTAAAAGAAAAGTAGCCCTTCAGAGGGCCGAAGATTTAGCTCAGTGGTGCCACCGCATGCCTTACAAGCACAAGTTTCTGTGTTAGATCCCTGGTACCAAAAAAAGAAAAAAAGAATCAAAATGAAACAAAACTGAGATGCAATCATTCTTGAGTAAAATAATGGCAACAATTAAGAGTAGGTCCACTGAGCATATCATGTCTAACAGGAGAATACAAGATGCTATGGAAAGGTCACCCAATCAAACTCAGCTGTTCTGGAAAAACCCCGCCCATTTAGCACTGCAGTAACCATAATTATAATGACACTATATATGAAAAACTCACACAGGAAGTGAGGACCTCCTTCCCCGGTTTGTCTTCTTTGCAATTACTGGAGTTCCGAAATGCTCTGGATTTGTTAACGGAAGCTGATCAAGTGTCTGGGTAAGAAACAGACGAGCTGAATTTGTATTCTGCTTCCAGATCAGTAGCTACTGTTCAACCCACAAGCCCGTCCGCCTCACTCACCTCACTCTCTGCAAAATGCCTCTCCCCCTTCAGGCAGAGAGAGGTTCTTCTCAGGGTTCGCTCATCACCATCATCAAACACTACGAGAAGGGACAGATAGCAGAGTGTATGCACAGAGAATTAAAACTGTAACGGCAAGGAAGGCTATTACTGCTATTTATTTAGAGCTTAATATTTCTACGAACCATTATTCGTTGGTCATTTTCCAAAACATTTAAAAATGAACATACTATAGTTTTCACTCTGTAAATATCAAACACAGGTTAAACACTTGTCCCCAAAATCCACATGTACCCCGATTTGCTTTGGCAATTTTTATCACTGTGGAGACACTTTTTCAACTCCTTAGCAACTGAGTCAAAGCACCCATGTTCAATCACCTTTGGTCCTAAAAGAGTGAGCAAAAACCTGCTTTTAAAGGAACCATGTGGGCTGGGGATTTTTTAGCTCAGTGGTTCTGCCCCCTGCCTCGCAAGTGCAAGGAGGCAAGTTTGATCCCCAGTACCAGAAAAAAATAAAAAATAAAATAAAGGAATCGTGTATGGTCTTTTCTGAGGCAGGCACCAAGGAAGTACCCCTAACTTCCTGAAATTATCCGACTGCCGATATGTTCTTAAACTACAATACTGCTTCTGCTTATTAAAGTAAAAGTACTGGCTGCCAAATTCTAAGGACCTAAGTAATCTAGAAATAAAGGCTGAAACGAAACAAACATCAGAAAAACAAAATTTTCTTTTCAAAAGGAGACTCAGAAAGTTATAATCACACAGAAATCCGAACTATGTCTAAATATTTTGAGGAATGGGCAGAGAGTGAGGAATTCAACCATTTGTCACTAATATTCTCTTGTTACCTATATCATTTTGATAATTTTATAAATTTAATCTTTCAAAATAAAATGTCAGAAGATACCTGATTGTCCAAGATTATGAAGAAATAAGACAGAATCTTTACCACAAATACTTAAAATGTAGATTAATTTGACAAGTGTCTGTACATCTTACGAAAAGAACATATTCAAAGGAAAGCATATGCTCAGAAAAATGATTAAGATCTAATGCCAGTGTTCATAACTCTAGATGCTTTTCCATTCTTCCAGAGTAAGTTAATATTCTTATGGGAAATTCTACCTTACTTTGACTTAATACCTTAGAATATAGTCCTGAATTTTTTAGAAAAAAATGTTTCATAGGCAAACATTTTACCTTCAAATCACAACTGTTTTCCTTTTGTGCTGGGGAATTGCAGCAGCAACGCGTGCACGCTGGGCAAGCCCTAGACCACTGAGTACCTCACAGTTATTTTTAACGAATAAGTGTTTTAAAGAAAACAAAGCACTGGGTATGTTCACTATTTATACACTTCAGTTGGTTCTTGTCTTAAAGATATCCAGATTATCCTCTACGCAGGAGACATTGTAGGAAAATTAAAGCTTCTGAAGCTCATATACAAAGCACTATAATGATTCCACAAATGCACTATGCTATGCACTGTTCATGACCCAGAAACTGATGTCCACATGCAAACACAACAACAAATAGTACCAAATACAATATCCTACAATTACATCACTGATCTGCACTTCACAAAGAGTGCCCAAAGTATGTACATCAAAATGATGATGGGTCTGGGGTTATCGAGTATAATAAGCCACTGTTATTTTAAAAATCACAAATCATGACATCAGTGGCATACGCCTGTAAACCTAGCACTTGCAAGGCTGGGGCAGGAGGATTACAACGAGAACAAGACCAGCCTGGAATATATAAGATCCTGTCTCAAAAAACAAAAAAGAAAATCATAACATCATAAACCAAGCTAAAAATAATTCTTTAGGTTAGTATTAATGTCAATGATTAAGATTTTTTAAAAAAAGTTATTTGCTATGCATTTCAATATTTCTATTAATATAAAAAATAATTAAGATTTTACAAAGGTCACACTTTTTCTTAATGCCAAAAGTATCAGATAATGACACTGGACCTGTGCCATTTAAATTGAGATCGAACAGAAAATAAAGATCATAATACTAATCAATACATTAATTTAACAAATCAGAGCCAGGCATGATAGTGCACACTTGTAATCCCAGCACTCTGGGAGGCTAAAGCCGGAGGATCACAAGTTTGAGCCTAGCCTGGACAAATTAACAATTTAGTGGGACTATCCCAAAATTAAAAAAATGAGCTGGGGAATTTGTCCAGTGTCACAGCACTGGGTTCAATCCCCAGTACCTCTAACCCCAATCTATTTTTTTTTTGACACAGGGTCTCACTATGTAGTTGAGACTGACCTGGAACTCACTGTGTAGCTCAGGCTGGTCTCAAACTCACAGCGATCATCCTGCCTCAGCCTCCTAAGTGCTGGGATTACAGGCGTGCACCACCATGCCCGGCTTTAACCCTGATCTTTTCCATAGTATTTTATTGTTTATCATTGGCAGCCCTAAATCAAAATGTTCTGATGAAAATTCCAACTGTAGTTGAGACTGACCTGGAACTCACTGTGTAGCTCAGGCTGGTCTCAAACTCACAGCGATCATCCTGCCTCAGCCTCCTAAGTGCTGGGATTACAGGCGTGCACCACCATGCCCGGCTTTAACCCTGATCTTTTCCATAGTATTTTATTGTTTATCATTGGCAGCCCTAAATCAAAATGTTCTGATGAAAATTCCAACAAATAAAATTGTGTTTTTTGTTTTTTTCTATTTTTGGTACCAGGGATCACTCAGGAGAGGTAGGTGACAGCACCACTGAGCCAAATCCACAGCCCTAAAATTGGGGCTTTGAAGGGAAAAAGTCCATTTTACTTCAACATACTGTATCATTCATAAAATTAATGTAAAATCCAAAGTGACGTCTCCAAAGGTTTTAATGGAACAAACCACTCTGTAGTTTTACACAGGAAATCTTCCAACTTTAAGTAAAGTGAAACAGTTTAAAACTTTTTTCTGGGTGTGGTGGCTCACGCCTTTAATCCCAGCACTCGGGAGGCTGAGACAGGAGGATTGCTGTAAATTCGAGACCAGCCCAGGCTACTTATAGAGTTCCAGGTTAGTCTCAACTACAAAGTGAGACCCTGTCTCAAAAAATAAAAACAAAACAAAAAACACCTTTTGAATCCACAAAACTATATAAATGCATGTATTTGAGTATTTTATACAGTTAGTAAGCAATGCAACTTTGAAAGATATGGAAAACTCAACAATACCATACATTTATCGATTCCAGCACTGAGCTGCCCCTCTTAACTCCCATCACAAATATCATCAAGAAGAGCCACGCATGCTAAGGAGTGTCTGCAGCATTTAAATAAGAGTGAAGTGATTAACTGTTGCCTGTAACAGATTTAGCTTCTTTTTAGATCAGACTTATTATACGGTATGCCAAGAGAAAATAAATCACATTGTGAGGACTTCACAATTCCATGAAACGTCTGATGCTTGCCAAAATGGCAACTGAATAATTCATTGAATGCCACAGAGCACATAAATGGCAAAAAATAGTATCTCGGTTGTAATAAATTAACTATAAACACCAAGACCACCAAAACACAGGACAACGACAAAAGCCAAGACTCTCATGGTGACACTATTCATAAGAAACAGACAATTCTTAAGCAAACAAATATACAGATCTTAATCTGCCAGAATTCAAAGAAAGAGAATAACAAGGATCTTATAAACTACTGAATACGAGAGACCTGTCTGCTACCTCCACACTGATCCATCATGTAGTAATAAATAATAACGGATGTAATTGGGAGTCACTTACTAACCCTCTGTCATATCCTAATCCATGCAACAGCCTCTTCAAGGTAGCAATCACTGCCTTCCTCTCACGGATAAAGAAACTCAGAAGCAGAAGGTTTTTCAATGAATGACAGCTTGGTTAAGGAGTGAGAGACATAATAAAGAGGGTGCAGAATTATAAAATGGACACACACAAGCCAGGATGGGACAGTGCGCAACCGCTAGGTCAGCGAGGGCAACCCTGTGGCGCACACACTGCGGCGGGCTGTGTGTATCACTGGAGGCCCTCAAAGGTTTGCCATCACTGTCCCTGCTACACTGTATAGTACAGCCCGCTACCCCTACCTACCTACGAGGAAGGAGGGAGCGACGGATTCAGACAAAAATGAGTAGCAATACCACAGCCGTGAACAGCAGTTATGATTAACAGGGTATTTCACATCCTGCAGTGAAAATCTTAAGGATGTAAGTATCTCCTAGGTAATACAATAGTTCTTTTTTTTTACTTCACAAATAAAAATGGTTATGGCTGTGCATGTTTTGAAATACAGGATGTACACACTGTGGAACGGCTGGATCGAGCCCATTAGCATGTACCTTTACTTCACATCCTCATCTATTTTTGTGGTGAGAGCACTTATAACCTACTCCCCTACCAATTTCGAACTGTGTGATTCATTGTTACTGACTACAGCCACTCCTGCAATCAGTCTCTTTTTCTTATTTTCCACTGAAGTTTCCATTGTTTGACCAACATCCTCTCTCAACCTCTCAGCCCTTCAATACCCTTCCACCTCGCAGCCAGCCCCGAGAACCACCACTGCATCCTCCTGAGCCAGGCTCCGTCAGATTCCGTGTGTAAGTGAGCTCACACGAGACTCTCTGCGCCTGGCGCATTTCACACAGCACAATATCCACCAGGTTCTCCCTTTTCAAAGCTGAAGAGTACCCCGATGCGACTATGTATCAAGTTTTCTTTATTCACCGGTCCACCGATGGAATCTTAGGTAGCTTTCCCATCGTGGCTATTAGAAATACGGACGCAATCAACATGCGAGGGCAAATACCCATTGAGCATACAGGTTTCGTTTTTTGCTTTAGATGTAAAGCCAGCAATGGGATTGCTAGATCACGCAGAGGCTCTGTGTTTAATTTTTTGGAAGAACTCCTATTCTGTTTTCCATAATGGCTATACTGATTTGCATCCTGAGCATGGGCACTTATTATTTTTTGTCTTTTTGATAACATTCAACACGTGTGAAGTGACATCTACTGCGGTCTTAATCTACATTTCCTTGATGACTAGCATACCAAGCATTTTGTTCACTC